TCCAATCCGTGGGAAGCAAGCCTGACCTGTGGGGGAACCCTAGCGCAAGTTTCAAAACTGGGGATATACCTTTCCGGCATACTGTCAAAAGAACACGGATCACAGATCAGCATCAACGCTTTTGCCCTTCCTTGGAAAACAATGAGTACATGAGTGTGCGCAATAATTTTTTTGATTTGAATACAATACATTTGGATTTCTGTGATTAATGTGATAATGTGTGTGAGTGAGATATGACATATGAATGAATTCCGATGAAGAAATACTCTTGGAATGAAATAAATTCCAGGGAACCCGCGAATCATGCAATGCTTCAGGGTAACCATTGGGGTCAGTAATTCGGTAATGGGCCCATGAGCTCTTGGAATATTTGCCGCAGTCCTAGGATAAACCGTAAGTGTTTGGGTACTTATGTCGCGGGAAAGAAGGCCGGCTTGCTCGTGAGGAAGAGGAGGAAGAGAATCAAAGTCGTCAGTCTATCAGTGGCAAGATTATGTTCCTCTGAACCTGACGAGGAGAAGGCAACAAATCTTCCGCCTGAGCTGCGATAGCTAGCTTGAAGCTCACCTTGCCAATTGCGGGCATAAATCGGGATACCAGGCTGTGGAGCTTGCGTTCCCTGCTGTCTAGGTTGGCCCTTACGTTTTCCCTTGACTTTTCCTTTGGTCCTCCGCCACATGCGACCCTTACCATCACCAACCTCGTAATGGTAGGGTAAACAAAGTGAAGCCCGTACTCACCTATGTAATCCCAAAACTCATCCATCCACATCCTGGTCCTTGGAGTCGCCTAAGAATTCTGGCTGACAGGGCGAAACTTCGTTGCGCAGAAAGCGAAGCCAGAGCAGCGTGACAGCAGCAGCCCTCCTGCTTCGCTCAAGGCTCTGTACAAAGCAAGTCCTGAAAGCTGCAATGCAAACTGACTCAAGACGAGCTTCTGAGGCCAAGACTTTTTTTTGCACAAAGAGCCTCGCTAGTGCATCAATTCTGATGGTCGGTAGACCTACTGACATGCAGAATGGTATGGAGCCTCTCGGTCACTATACGTTAAAAGTCGAATTCACCGCTTAGCCGGCGGAAGAAAGGCACATGGCTAGCAGCCAGGCGAAATTCCCAGCAAGAGCTCAATCAAGAGAACAAAAACCCACACCAACAACTCGAAGAACACCCAAACAAACCAACCACGACACGAACACGAAAAGAAACAGCTCGCAAGGTAAAAATGACATTCAAGATAAGATGTAGAACGGTGGTGAGACCAGAGAAGGCGAAACGTTATCCGAAAAGACCAGAAAGATCTTAAAACGCATTTTCCAATCAACTAAGCACGTCAAGCTAGGAGGGACTCAGGAAGATCCAACGTGTTCTTTCTTTGAAGCTGCGCGCTACAAACTGGACAAGATGGCTAAAAGCTCAAGTAGACAAGCAGCTGTCACTGGTGCATTGTTGAAAGGAAAAGTTTCTGTTAGTCCACCGCGGTAGCAAGGACATGGTGGCAATTTTCTACACTTAACCCGGGGCTCCGGAGAGCGAAAGGTTGAGTGAAGTTGTGCGGCGGCGCTTTCCATCCCAGTCCACCAGTTTCGGTCACTTCCATCGGTTTCCCATCATCTTCTCTGGGTTGGCTTGTGATAAACCTACATGATTGACTTGGTGCACCGACTTGTGTTTGTTGGTAACTAGTTGGAAGTTCAACCTGCCAGATACCACATCCATGCATTTTCAGTGCACCTTGGTGAAAGTGTCACTTCAGGGCATTGTAGGGCTCTTGTATAATGCCGGTAGGGGTAGACTGCACTGCTGCGATGATAACCTAAACCTATTGCTTGAGAATTTTGATACTGTTGCTGGTGATGTTTATGCCGTGTTTCTTGCTCGATCCAACTTTAGTAGAGTGCGGGGTTTTCCTTTGAGCAACCATGTTAGCTGGCCTAGCTGATGCCGAGTTGCAGCATCATACGGATACCATCAATGAGTGGGTGAAGTCCTTGTCACGTGTCAACAATGACGGGGATCACGCAAAACAAAACGTAAAAAAAACCTTAGGCAATAATTTGCTGTCACATCTTGGGTCCCGCCAAAGGTGTTGGGGATGATTTCAAACATGACCAAAACCCCAGTGCGCTCCCACGCTGTTTGACTGCAACTTGATTGAAACTTGGATTGGTGCAGTTTTCGAATAATTGATGGACATGTATTTCAGCGGAATATTAGTTGGATTGTTTCACTTTCAATATTGCCAAAGATGAGTTCGATGTGTTCACGCTTCGCAATCCTGTATATGATTTTTGCGATTTTGGAACTTTGGCAATTTTATCAGTCGAGATTTTCTTGTCCCGCTTGCCCAACCCTCCGGGGGTACGTGCCCCATAGGGTGAGTTCCGTGGTGTTGGCCTGTTGTGAGAATGGCGGGTGTGTGGCTGCTGTGGATAGGGCTCGTGTTGATTCCCTCTATGTGTTTTTTGGTTTCCCGAAATCTCCCTGGTTGTCAGTCTCTTTTCTTGTCCCCTCCATGTTGGCTTGATCAGGATTTTGCAAGTTTGTTTCCTGGTATTTCCTTGTTTCCCTTGATGTGATGTGAGCCGAAACGGCGTGCCACGGATAACTAAACGTTTATTGTCTTATGGCCAGTGATTTCACACTTTTCAGGTCGTTAACGTGCAAAGAGCGTAGCAAGCCATGCAAGCCGCAATGTTGCACCTTCAACAAGGACATTCAAATTTGGGAGGTGGTGCACTACTGCGCCCGTGGACAAAATGTTCCACATTGTTCGGTGGCAAGGGGCACCACTTGAATCGGGTTGTTTGGCTGCTGTGGTGGCAAGAAATTTTGTTGGTTGGCACTTTCCGATGTGTTCAATGTGCCAGCGCCGTGATGGTGTGGGTGCCAAAATGTCCTGCATCATCAAAAATCTGTTTTGAATAGGTGCCGCGTAAGGTTTGCGCTTACACAGCCGATACGTTGTGCAAAGTTTTTGGGCATCATTTGACCGGTGCAGGTGTGGCCCCCAATTTTTTTGGTTGTGGCACGGGAAATTGAAATGCAAGTGCCGTATCCTGATGGCGATGGAGATGATGTGTGCACGGAAACGATTCTGTGATTGGATGCCAACCTTTTTGTTACACTTGTTGGGAGGTTAGAGCGGCAATTTGAAGCATCATTCCATGTTTCCACAGAGACAATTCTCATCACAGGGCGTGTGCTCGAAACAATTCAACGACATTTTGTCATTTGCACACAACAGATTCTCTGTGGTGTGGCCGCGTGGTGGCCCATTGTAGCCATGATGCGCTTGTACACGTCACGAAGCTTTTCTTCATCAGGTTCGTGCATAAATTGAGTTGCAAGTGGACTTGTGTAGCACGGTAGCACGCATGCTCTTCGTTTGGATGTACGTGCCGGATTTGTTCCACACCGACTTGGGCTCAGAATTACAAATGGGCAGTAGATGCATGTCCTGCTTTGTGATAAATTCATGGGATATTCACGGAACATGGTGCATCGGAGTTGGTTTGTTTCCATTGGCAGAGCAGTCAGCATGTGAGACTTATGGTTTGTGTCTTTAGTTGTATTTCGGGTATGTGGAAGCTGCGAACGAGAGCTGACACATTCTTTTTTTTTTGACTTGCTGGATGCTAGCACATTTGACATGTATGTGTTTACCAATGATTGTTGCACCTTGTGTTGGGGTTGTCGATGACTCATTGTCAAAAACATCCTATGGACGGTTCATTTTATCGGATATTTTGCTTTTGCTGCAAAGCAACCACTCACACCGGTAGAAGCAGCCACTGGAGGGGACGCGAGCATTATCGGTGGAAAGCTTACCACTAGGTCCAGGTAAAGTAGGCAGATGGCACACAGTAGCGACGAAGAAGATGGTTGGTGTCCACGCACCCAAGTTGGCTTGCAGGCGACCGAGTTGAGAGCTACATGTGTGGTGCACTCCTGACGTCATTTTCAACAGTCTCACATGAAGCCTTTTTGGAGGATTTGCTGACAAATTCCTCTCGCAACAAGACTCTGCTCATCAGTGGTGTTGATGGATTAGATGTTCCGACCCAGAAGGCCCACATGCAAAGATGCAAGATTCATGGAGCATGGCATTATGGACTTTTCGTCAGCGCATGCCACAAAGTATTCATTGCAAGGTTGATTTGATACAGCTGCAGCCTTACTCTTGCTCTTCAAGAAGTGCTCGCCAGTTGAACAGTTGAATTTGGTTGACCATTGCTTCTGAGGCCGCAGGAGTCTGGGGTCCAGCACCTAGTTCGCATGGATTTCTTTTTGGTTGGGAAGAACACGTTGACCATTGCCTTCTTGCACCAGCAGACGCACATTATTCCTCATGTGGTGATCTATTACCCTAAGCAGTAACAATAGCAAACAACCTTTTGTACATATCCTCGCTTAACGGAAGCCGATGAAGGAACAATACATGCCATACGTTTGTGGCCTAATTAATAGAGACTCTCGAGTCATTTGACACATTTTCTCGAAGTATATCAACATTTTGAGCAAGCAGAATGGCATCCCACCCACTGCTGTTTGATATCCTGTTTCCAGACGTTGACCACACCAGTTGTGTCAAAGTCAGGACTTGCCTCACGGATTTGAGTTGTTCACCGCGTTTGTCAGGCATGATTCAGTTTCAATATTAATGCCATAAGCTTGAAGTGCAAAACATGGCATACTCCTCACGGCCATTGCTTTTTATCTCGTAAAGGCGGTGAGTTGGTACACCTGTTGCTGATATCTTGTGCCGTGGCAATGGCCGTGTTTGAGTAAACATGTTGCTGAAGGCTGAAGAAAGCTGAGTTTTGTGACATCCCATGTTGAACTTACAGCAGATGTGGGCCAACCGTCGGCTGTAGACCTCCATCAGCCTATTGAGTGCCATGGTCCGAGTTCCTTCCGTCACCCGCATCGGAGGCTGTCAAGCTTGCATCCAATCATAGGCTAAAGGTGGGGCTGCGCCTTCTATTTCTAGTTTTGGAGGACATGGACGGAGATCTCGAATCTGAATTTGAAACCCACATTGTGGATGCACCTCGCAATGCAGAGGCGATGATGGTCTTTTTCATGCGTCATAGGGCTCTAAGATGCTGTTTGAGAGCTGCTGCATCAACTTCGTCAATTGCCGCTGACATCCTGGAGGCGAGGGCAGCTCAAGAAGCTAAGTGGGCTGGAGATTACGATGGCCGGCAGCACTGGTCTCTCCGAGAAGCGTGACCTGCAGCGTCTTGTGTAACGTTTGCTGAGTTTTTTTGCCATGCAGACCTAACATGATAAGATGCGTGCAAGCCCAAACATGTTGTCCTTGTGGGCGTCTTGCTGGCACTGCGAGAAAGGGTTTCCTAGACTTGCTCATCCAAAAATCGGAAGCCTTTGTGGCCGAAGGCATGAGATTGTGGTTGTTTGAGAACAAGCAGGTATACCCTTGCATGGCTGAGTTCACATTCTCTTGCTGGCTTGTGCGTGAGATTTCTGCATTCTTGCTAATTCAATGTTGAGCCCGGGGCAGTCGTTTTTGGCTGACTTTTAGCTTGAACCCGAACTGTCTTCACTCATGTGCCATTGTGACGGGCTCGAGTGTGTCTGTTGCTTTCGGACGGGAGGCTGCTTTGGAGGAGGCAGCCGTAAACCACCTTCGAGAAGCGCTTGATGCACTCGCGTCTGCAATCACAACTCTACCTTCTCAGGTTCGCTCGGAGTGGGTTTTGTTACAGATTCTCGCGGTCTGTCGATTGGCTGCCTTTGTGTGTCAATTTGCCTCTTGATTTTGGCCTCCGTGACTGCAGGAAGCTTGCCGTATCTTTTTGCAAACCAAACAATCCTGCTCAAGCGTGTCGAAACAGCTGCGCATGGAGCTGAACAGCTTCTTTGCTCCATTCGCTGTCGGGCACGCAAAACAAGACGGGCAAGAAATTTCCTGGCTGGCTGCGCAGGCATACGCCTCCCAGCAGTCGCTGCGGCGTGCAGCTTGCAACATCAACGCCTCTCCCTTTCTCTTTAGCGACCGACTAGCCACGGACGCATGTGGAAATCGCCTGCCAATCCTCTCCTTCCGCACTGCCCCTTCAAGTCGGCCTTGATTCCTGCCAGCCATGTACCACGAAGTCTTTGTAGCATGGGCTTCACAGTGGCTACAAATTGGGGCAATGCTTTTTTAGAGTCTTGTGCGCTCGCGCCCAAAAGCAATGGGCATCAATCAATCAATCCTCAGGCCATGAATGTGTTATGACATCGCCCTCAAATGCTCCAATGTGCACAACATCGTGGACATCCCAGGTGATGACATCAATGCTGACATCCTTTGTGAGCAAAAACGCAACACAATGTTGGTACCGGTCCCCAACGAGCATTGTGAAAGAAACCCAAGTGACTCAAGTGGTTGGACATATAGTGGAATGATGTGTAGTCAACTCGTTTCACGCAACGTCAGTTCAGATGGGTTCAAGATCAAAGTTTAGTAACATGATGCGCACAGAAAACGATGTATGCATGTTAAAATACGTACCACGTTACTACCATCTCTTTTTACAGCACTTGAGTCAACAAATCTGCATTCAACCACAAATTGTTGATCTCGTCATTCGGGGGAGAACACCTTGGTTTACCAGTAAGTAATGACTTCCAGAACTTCCGAACAATGTTAAACATGTGTACAGAGACGGAACTTCAGTCCGTCGCTCCTGTGGAGTTGACTGCCTGTGCTGGACTGGGCCATGGCATGAGACATAAGGTTTCACACTGCTGGAATCAAGGTGCGCGGAGATTGCAAGGAACAGTTTGACTTGCACACTTGGTCCGCAGCACGTCTTCGACGGTACGGAAGTTCGCCTCTTACGCCGCATCTCTCTTGTGCAACCAGTGGGTAAAACGTGCTTTGGAGTGAAGAAAGTGGAGACATCGGCTGCATAGTCAAGCAAGCTAACTGTCAAGTCAAGCACCTTTATAATTGCACGATGTATGTGCCCGGCTATTCGATTCCAGCAAGCGCCTGTCGCCAAGCGCAAGATCCGCAGATTTCGACGGCTGGCATAATTGTGCGAGGTTTGGGCACGGCTTATCACCTATGCCTATGCGAAGCCAACAAACCATTGCTGTGAGCACGTGCGTAGCTTCAAGCTTAGCAAGACATGATTGAAGCATGGCCCGCTTTGCGCATCATGTGTTTCATGATTGATGCCACCCACTCCTTTCAGATATACCGGGTCAGACAAAGTCAGTATTCGGATGACCATGGCAAAGTCAGCCCAATTCAATTTCATGGCCTTGTCCCAGACATTGTCCAACTGTTGTTGCCCTGTATGTTTACTGACCCAATTGTTTGTCAGCACGTTCGCTATATCGATAAGCATATGTGACATGTGTGTGGCAAGTGCCTTCCTAACCATACCCATCGCATGCTACCATGCAACCCGATCCAAAACGTGCTGTGGGGAGCCGAAAGGTGCACACCAAGCTTGCAGACACCCTGGTGTGACAAGTTTTTGGATGAAGAATCACTTTGGGGCTTGAAGGAGTTACCACGGGCCATCCCAAACTTTAGGAACGGTGCAATGAAGGAAGGGGAGTCAATTCTCCATCCAGCTCATAAAAGCGGTACCCACGTGTTCAACAACACGAATTGTGGGCAACACAAAATACAACAAAATAGCACAACATAACAAGACGTAAATGGGACACGCAAAACCCACGCGTAAGTTTTCGCCCAGCGGCAGCTGCAACACGCAACCATGATCGGACGCCGCATCGCCTTTCAGGATTGTCCCACACACCGAATGCGCGAGCGTCCCGCACCCCACGGCAACAATAAAAATCAGTGGTTCTTTTTTCGACTGTCAACCGCAGTGGTCTGGTCTGACCTACTCGCGAGCTTTGTACACGACATGAATGTCGCGGCTGCTCTGTGGCAGCAAACCTAATGGGAGTGAAGCAGGTGTAGGTGCTGTCCCACGGGAGCTGTAGCTCACCAACTGTGGGAGGGTGCTGCTGCGCACTGGGCACAGTAAGGACAGGAAACAGGATGGGGCCTAAGAAGACTACCCAACAGCTTGAGCAGTGAGTCTGGCTGCAAAACCAGACGAAAGCAACCTGAGTCGTGGCACACAGACAAGCCCTTACAGCAAGACAGTGCAACTGAAGGATTTTTTTCGACACAGCTGTGAGGTGTTGGTGTGGCCAGTTACTGGCTCACAGGAAAACAAACAGCGGTTTTGAGCCACCCCCTCAAAAGCCTGCGCTCCCGTCACTTGCGCAGGCATCCCAGCACATAACATTGTTCTGCAATGTCTGCAGTAGCGGGCTGATTGTCGTCAGAATACCAAACCCCGACTCCCCCAGGCAGAAAGGCAGCAACTCTGTAGTGACCGGCTTGTCCGGAGGGCCTTAGAAGCACAACGGCAGTTACAATCTCATAAGTACACCAGGTGACAGCTTGGCTATCTTGGGAGCAGAATCTAGGAAAATGAAGAATTCTGTTCTCGAGATTCAAGGGAATCATGTGCTTGACTATACCCTGGTGAGTATCCCTGTAGCGAGGCAATTGCACATACATGATCATACATGTGCACAGGGGCGTTGTGCAATCCATGAAACCCTGGTTGCTCATGCCATGCATTGATTGCATTTTGTATGTTGATTTTCGTCCTGTTGCAAATCTGCGGTTGTTGGATAAGTTTTGATCCTTCACAGACTTGAGCCTGTACTGGACGCTGGGCAACCGGAGGAACAATTGGGGTTTAGGCGCGGTCGTCGGATGGAAGAGCATTTGTTGACAGCAAATTTGGTTATCGACAAAACCCGTGCCTCCAACGTTCCCTTGTGGACTTTGAGTTTGGATCGGTCAAAAGCATTTGATACAGTTGATTGGGGAGCATTGTGGCAGGCTCTCCGTGCTCAAGGCGTCTCCACCCAGATAATTTGGATATTGCAATGCTTGTACTCCGGACAGCAAGGCGTAGTAATGTCGTCACGGGATTATAGCAAAGAATTTCACATCCGAGCTGGTGTCCGACAAGGATGTGTGCTGAGTCCACACTCGTTCTGTGCAGTATTGGAACTGGGCCATGCGTGATTGGAAGGCGCATGGTCATGGATGGGAATTGTATTGCAGTCAAATTGGTCGACTTGAAATTCGCCGATGATATTATGATGTTTGCATTTTCAATTGAACAGTCCATGGACATGTTCCGATCACTGGTTGGTGCTCTACGGAACGTAGGCCCTATTCTGAACGTGTCCAAAGCCAAGCTGTTAACAACGCAAGCCCAACCACCTGAACATGTATGGGTTGACCTGCAGACCAGAATCGACATCATTCGTACTTCTTACAAATGGTTGGGGTGCTGTCTTTGCTTGTCAGGGGACCAAGACGCGGACACAGAATTCCATGTGTCTGCAGCAGCCCGAGCGTTTTGGGCCAGCAAATGGATCCCATGTGACAAGCACGTTCCAATCGCACTACGCATCAAGCTTTCGAGGCTGTTGTCACACCGGTAGCCTGTTTTGGGAAAGGGCATCGGAAGATTTACCAACATCATGTTCAAGAATACGATGTGGAATGGCGATGATTACAAGAAAAATATCACCTGCAAAGTTGGTCTGAAACATGTCTTCGCCAATATTGGAAATTCGCTTCGTACGTCGCAAGTTTGCCATCCAGAACTTGGGTCAGGCGTGTTTTGGAATGATTCCCAGCTGGAGCTCGCGTGGGCAGACCAAGAGATAGTTGGTGCACACAACTCGAGGCCTTTGCTCGGGTCATGGGATGGGAGAATTGGACGGCATATGCCCGACACTCCGAAGATTGGCAACGTATGTGTGATGCTATCGTTAGCTTTGCAACTCTGTGACGTGTGGTGCTTGAAATCGAGCGCTTGTACGACCAATAATCAACTCGAGTTTCAATTTGCGCCTGCGCCCTTACGGGCTGCCGAGAGGCATGCAGGTTGACCGACTGACTGACAAACTGACTGACTGATTGATTGACTGACTGACTGACTGACTGACTGACTGACCTTGTATGTTCGAATCGCACAAGCCGTCGGGAGGGTTTAGCATTAGACGGTCCACCAATCCATTGTGAATCAGCCTCTCTGGTGCGCCTTCCACCAAAAGGCGGGCTCCCCAGGAGAAGGGTTCACCTACCCAACCAAGGCTAGGAAATAGAAAATGCAGAAACTCCACTACGTCGTGTTGCTCATGTGGGCGAGATGAGTGG